AGAAATCCATTGATTGGAACCATTAACACCATGACTCCCAGTCCTGCCAACACAGAAGGCCCTAACTCCAGCCACAGGAAAACAATGGATATGACGATCTGCAGAGGGCAGGACCACAGCAGGTGGATAAAGTTGGTCACATCATTGAAGCGCTGGGCATCTGCTGACATCAGGTTCACCGTTTCCCCTACTGTTGACTCCTTACGAGCGTCATTGGACACCGCTAATGCCTTAGAAAAAGGATAAAAAAACGCATAACAGCCAAAAAGTGGCAGGTACATGAAGTTTGAATGTTAGAATGAGTATTTTCTTCATTTCCTGGTATATAAGAATTGCAAGAAAAATGTAATAAAATATAAATATATATATTAAATATATATTCTAATTGCATCATAATTTGTCACAATTAAGGTGAGGGTTGTTGCCAAAAATGATTTTTGAACTCGTAGAGTTAATCAATCAGATCATTAGTGAAAGTATTACTGGCAGAGCAGACAGATTTACCCTGTAAGTGATACGCATGTACTCATGTGATGATAAAAGCATCTGACAATTAACTTAAGCAGAAAGCAATGACTGGTAATTTATGACTTCTGATATGTTAAAGTAATTTATATTACGTAGTCTTTGATTTTTTTACACCAAAGTCAAACAAAAGTCATTCTATCAATCCCGTTTGTTTTACCTTTTTGTACACAGCAGCCATAAGTGCAGTGCGAACCCTCATGCCCAACACAAAGCAGCGCTGGAAATACTGTTGCAGGGTCAGAGACTGCAGCAGAGCCACCACCATCAGCAACACTGCATACAAATAGCCCTCCCAGGCATATCTGGATTTGTTCTGAGTGAAGGAGACCATCAATCTAGGGAAAAAAATGAAAATGTATGGATATAGCATGTCAACACTTTCTACTATGTGTCCTTCACTTTTTGCCTGCTTCCTTTTTAACACTTATTTAGCAATTTTCTCTTTCCATTCAGGCACTCCTGTTATCAGTTGTTTAAACTGATCAATAAATAGTGAATAGTTAACCCAAAGGCTTTGACAATGTTGATTTTAAAAACCTTCAAGGACGGCTAAATGGATTTTTAAAAATGTTTACATGGGCAACAGAAGCAACACTGTTCTGTGTTTCTGTACTTTTGATTCTGTAATATTTTGCAATACTTTACTCACTTAAGGAGCTGAGGACTGACAAAGGTTAACACATCTTGCACAAGTTTGAAGAAGGCAGATTCAATCAGAATCCATTTAAAGGTCTTGTAAAGGGTGGGAATGAGCCATGAATTGGGATAGTTCTCTTCCTCCTTCTTTTTGTCCTTTTTCTTTTTCG